TGAATAGTTAATAACACCTAGCTAAGATTTAGCTAAGGCTAAATGGGAAAGAATTAATTTAAAGAAGGCCAAGAAAAATCAGACCTAGAGAGCATAGGTTCTCTTTCATAAATTAGTGAGTCACAATAATTTAGGCAATAAATGAATAATTGTGGGGTAGGATTAACTAGGTGTCTTAAGGTTGTTGAAGATCTTCAATTGCACCAATTTAGCAGAGAGTAGGTTCAGTGTGTTTTAATACAACAATTAGCTCCCAGCAAAAGAAGGGATCTTGAGGACTCCTGTTCATGTGTGGGTTTCCGCTATGTGAGATCTTCTCTAACATTTGCTGAGTTGGGCTCAGAACCCCAGACTGTCTGGGGAGGGATCTTTGGGTTGACTTTTAACTTTCTTTAAAACAAAAGCTTGTTTTAAAATAAAAATCAATCTCACAGAGATAAGAATCATGGAATGTTAGAGCTGGAAAAGGTTCTAGTCGAAACTTTTCATTTTACAGATGAAAAGTCAGTTTCTTCATGTGTAAAATGAAGAGGTTGGAAGAGATAAGATCGAATAGCTTCCACTTCCAAGAAGCTATAAAGTCTAGAAAGGCTAAGTGGTACCCAAAGTTGCCAGACTTGGAAAGTGAACTTGGTTCCCAGGATTCTCTTTATGGCTATAAGTCAATTCTGACCTTTAAAAAATTTGGTCAGCTCAGTTGTCTGACACAATGCAGATAAATAACCATCTTACTGAGTTGAATTTTTTTTTTTTCTATTTCAATCAGTTTTCCTGTGTCATGTAAACATAACCTCGCAGATATCACCAGCCACAGAAGGAGCAAAGCATGAACACAACACAATTGTGCTTGAAGCTGACTGAATCACTCAATAGAACGCCACTAACTCGGCCTTTAGCACTAGGACCAGGAAACAATGGATACAATGCCTTTCAACATGTAGATTTGTGCAAAGCTGACCTGAAATAGACCCGACCATGAAAAGCAAAATGCCCGTATATGACAGAAGAGAACAACTCTAACTAACTAGAATCACCGATGGATTGAAAATATTTTATCTTGAGTTCATGCTTCCTGTGGCTGCCAAGGGATTTCTGCATTTCACTGGGGCTGTGAGAGTGTAGCATGAAATGTTCCAGCAATGACTTAGTGTCCAGGTCATCTCCTACCCCAGAGATGGAGCAGTCTATCCCTGTACACCACTCTGGGGCTCTCATCCTCTAATCTACACCACGGGTTCTAAATCTGAGAACTACTTTCATTTCATCCTCTTCCAGGAAATAGGTCAACATAATACATTAAGAAATTCTTCCCCCCACCCCCTGCCATACTATAAGCAAAGCAAAACAGATAAAAAACTGGGAAAAATATTTCTAACTTATATTATAGACAAAGTGTTAATATCCCTAATATATTAAGGGCTTCTAAAACTTGAAAAATAAAAGACCAACAACCATACTGGAAAAAAGGGCATCATATAAACAGTTGGTTTTCAGAAAAAATGCATACGTCCCCTAAACATATGAACAAATGTTCAGCCTTACTCATCATAAGAGAAGTACAAAGTCAAATGACAGGGAGATATGAATCCTCACCTATTATGTGGGTAGAAATCCAAAAGTGACAGAATTCTGCATTGGCATGGCTGTGAAGAACAGGTACTGCCCTATATTGCTGGTGTGAATGCAAAATTGTATAAACTTCATAGAGAGGAATTTGGCATCTAGGAAAATTACAAATGCATTTACCCTTTAACCTGTTTCTAGAAATCCATCCCAAAGAAACACTGGCAAAATGGGAAGAGCTATTAATTTCAAAGTTATTAATGGCAACATCATTCATAATTACAAAAGACAAGAAAGAACCCAAATGTGCATCAGCAGATGACTGGTTGAATAAACTGTGGAGTACTGTGCAGCTATAAAAGAGGATGAGACAGCCCTTTATATATTGCCATGGAGTACTCTCCAAAACATTGCTAATTAAAGAAGAGTAAGGTTGTGCTCGCTTCGGTAGCACACATACTAAAGAAGAGTGAGGTGAAGAGCCATGCGTGTAGCAGCGTATAGTAGAGTGTGGGCCTGTTTATGTATTTCCTGAGATTTAGAAATAGAGGGTGAACTAAAAACCAACCAAAACGGTTGGAAAATTAGGGTAGAGGGGACAGAGATAGAAGCGAGATTTCTCTTGTTTTGTTCTATGGTTTTCATTTTGGAATTCTGTAGATATTTAATCTAATTTTAAAACAAAAATTAAAAGCAAAATGAAACAAATGAACATGTTTGTGTATTGACTTTGGCTTAACCACACAGAGGAATTATTTCAAATTCTCTTAAATTAACTGTTCATTCCTAGTGGGGATATATCAAAAGGTTAAAAGAACCACAATGAAATCTTAAGCAGTTTTCAATAATCATATTTTTAGTAATAATATGTATATTATAATTTTGAAAATATGTATTTTAAGTAAGAAATTATATTAATGTGATAGGAAGAAGAAAGCAGGAAGAAGAAAAATGAAAATGCAAATAAAAATTCAAGGAAGTTAAGTAAAATTTCTATAATTCTAAATTTGAACTTGTGATGAATTTGTGATATTATTTCTCCTTCGAAACAAACAAAAATATCTAGAAACAATGACCAGTCCAGTAGCAATGAAAGCCCCTAGTGCCCAAATTTTGGTCTCTAAATAAATTTCCCCTCTTAGAAAGAACCAAGGCTTCTTGGAGAAATGGTTGGTTCCAAGTCAGGGTACAGGAAACCAACAAGATAAGGTTGGAACATTGAGTCATGCGCCAAAACAAGAAACCTACGAAAGACAAATGGAGTCATGACAAAAAGATACAGTGGAAACTTGAAGAGGATCCCAGTTGTCAAAGATGGAATATTTTGATCATCAAAAAGAATAATGACAGCAATAGATTGAAACATATCAACTATGTTAAAATCCATGTTAAATCCATAAAAAAAAAAGCATCACCTTGGTCATATATAGAGGATGCTAGGGAAACAACCAATTATTTCAAAAACTAGTAAATAAAGGGAAAGAATCAATCACTTATCCTGCTTTTTTTGTTCAAATGATATCACAAGGTATTCAAATAGTTGATCTAGAAAACTTCTTCTTTAGAGGAGAGTACCAGCTAATAAAGCCAAAAAAAGGATAGAATTAACCTACCACTAGTTTGTAACCCCTAATAAATATCGGTCTAAGCAGTAACCATCAATGGGTACTAAAGCCATTAGCTAAAACTGGGAATTCTAAAATGTAGAGCTTCTCAAACTTTAATGAGAATATGAATCACTTGAGGATATTGTTCAATTCTAGAATCTGATTCAGTAGGTCTGGAGTTGTCTGAGATTCTGCATTTATAACAAGCTACCACATGGTGCCTATACTGCTGGTCAGAGGGCCATTCTAAGAGAGAGAAAAGCAGCCCCAGACATTTCGGAGCTGGCCTGGTGCTATCAGCTGGGCCTTGGTGTTCTCCTGTTGAAAGTAAACAATTTCACAGAACAACATCAGACAAGGTCACTCTGTGACCATGATGAATCAAGACCAAAACAAGACTACTACATAATCACATATAAACACAAATAATGAACACTGTCCAAACCACAAAATTGACTAAACATCCTCTTATTATGGCTAAGTGGTCGCTGCTTCTTTACTAATTGTAGCTTTAGGCTCAATTCAGTCTTCCTTCCTGCTAGATAATAGTTACTCACTAAAATGCCCAATCACTCCTGCTTCTTGACAGCATCTAATCCAGAGCAAAGCCCCAATTTCTTAAACTCTCCCTAAAGTCACCAAACATAAGCCCAAGTCCTACAATAAGTCCTTTCTAACACCCTCTGAGAGGTCCCATGGTTCCTCTGGTGAGCAGGCTCTCTCATTACAACATGTAATAAACACATCTTGTTCACCTACAAGTGTGTTCTGGTGGTCTTTGTTGGAGCAGGAATTCAATAGTGTGATGGACCAGGCTGACTAACTGAGTCACTAACCACTATGTGCTTCCTGGTGTGATGCTATAGAGACTCACAGCGCCACTGATAAAGTAATCTTGCCAAAAAAGATCAACCTGAATCTGATTAAGCCTCTAGATTCAACCATCAGTTTACAAGAAATACGGAGGATAGAGGAACATTTTAAAAGGAACCATATTCAATTAAACTACAAGAAAAATTGCCTCTTTCTTTTTCCAACAAAGAAATGACAAGAAAAACAGAAGATGGAGAGGGAACATATAGATCTAAAGAGACTCAATAGTCATATCAGTCAATTGCAATGTGTAGCCCTTATTTGGGTCTTAATTTGTACAAACTAATAATGATAACAATAATGACAAAAAGACAATTGGGGATATTTAAAGAGACTATCTCTTTGATAATATTAAAGATTGCTTATTAATATTTTAGGTTTCATAATGGCAATGGTAATTTTTCAAAATATTTAAAAATAAAATGATATGATGTCAGGAATTTGCTTTAACACAATCCAGTCATGGTGAGAGGGAGTGTAGGGGGTATAGATAAAAACATTGGCAATATTTGATAATTGCTGAAGGGCATATGACAATTCTTTTCACTATTCTGCCTATTTTTAATATGTTTGAAAAGTTCCATAGAAAACAATTTTTTTAAATATTTTTTACCATTTAATTCAATAGATCATTTTTGAAAAAAGACAAGTTGAATGGGGGAAAATTAAGGACTATAGCTCAAAATGGCTACATAGTCTAGAGAAATAAACAACAATAAATTTTAAAGAGTCTTTCCCACTACTAAGATTGCTTTCAGATTCATTTTTTGAGAGCTATGAGAATATTCACCTGTTTCTTTCCTTTCTTTTTTTTTGTGATCATTGAAAGATACGTCACCGGAAATGAAGAGGAATAGGAATTATTATTATGTAGACCCAGGTGATGGTCTTTAGAGAACGATTCTATTTAAATATTTGATTCTTAAAAAGAAGAAAACGTATTATTTGAGCAATTACCTGGATCTGTAGCAGACATCAGTGAACCAAAAAACAAACAGTCAGTGAAATGAAAGTCTCCATTTTTCAACTGGCCAGCATGTACCATAGCCTTCACAAAGCCATACATAATTAACCTGTTGAAGAGAAAAATAAGATTGTGAAACGTCAAGTTGAATCCTGCGTAAACCCAAGTTATCATTGCTAACATTCTAATGTGCTTCCTGAATAAGCATCATGCACAAATTACCACCATTCTGCCAGTTCATGGCCATGGTAGCTCTCAGTACACTGTTTAAATCTCTGGCCTATGAAAGACACTTTTAGCAAATATCACAACTAATTCGCCTAGCAAAAGGTAACAGAACATTTTACAGTATATTTCAATGACAACAAGATAAGTCTCAAGGATATAAAAAATAACCTGTCAAATGTGGCACAGCAAATCATGCTCACAAATACAGCTGCTGGGTTGACATCTGTAAATGGATTGCTTTTCAGTTTTCATTACTTTGTCTGCTAGGGGTGTCTGAAGAGGGTTCAAATTTCAAGTCTGTCACTGTGATGAGAAGAATATTGGCCACTCACAGGGCACTCAGTCAACCAGTTACTTTACAATAGATGAGTCTCTACTATGGCTGGTGTCAGGACACTTCCACGCTGGATAGAGAATTGCTGTTAGGGTAGAGCACCTGCAACTTCAACGCACTGCTGAAAATGAATCCTGAAATGGTTACGTTTTGACCTTGCAAGAAAAGCTGTTCATGAGATTGTAAAAGTTTTATAAGCTTACCTAACCCACACCATGGAATGCGAATTGTCTGTTTTTGGTCATCATTTGCCACCCTATAGCTTTAAAATGGTATTTAATTATTTAATTGACTGATTGATTTTGCTAAAATCCTGATAGAGGAAATACAGAGTTTGGTGAACTGGACCACAGTAAAATCACTAGAAGCGACTGTAAGAGTCCTTAGAAACTACAGACCCTCAGACCAATAGACGGATGTTTAAATATTCACATGCATTTAAAGTTAGTTTCTTTAAAAGAAAGCATGGCTAAGAAGGCTGGAAATCAGATAGAAATTATAATGTCAATGAGAATGCAGACGTTTCAAATTCTGTTAAGAAAAATATCTCCATGAGAGAATATTTCAGACACACCTGCATCTAAATCCAGATTCTACCACTCACTAGCTATATGATTTTAGGGCATTACTAAAACTTTCTGAGCCTCAGTATCCTTATTCATGAGGTAGGGATAACAATAATAGTTAGCCCACAGAGTTGTTTTAAGGATTACCTGAGATAATATACATTGGTTTCTGGCATATAGTAAATTCTCAATGAGATTATATTTCCTGCTGATAATAATTATCAAAATAGGTAATATTTGCCTACTATTTCTACTTCTTCACATGTTTTAACTCATCTAATCCACACATTGATCCTATAAGGTAGGTACCATTTGCCTTTTACAGAGGAGAAAACTGAACACAGTGTGATCAAGTAATTTGTTCAGAGTAACATAGCCATTAAGCCGTGAAACCCAGATGGGAGCTGCCGGGATTTGGCTCCAGAGCCTGGGCTGTTAACCAGCACACATCTTGCCTCGGTGAACAGTTGTGTATCTTACATTACATGTTATCTCATAATATCCTCGCAACTACCCCATAAGGTGGCTGCTCTAGGTAGTACAAAGTTGTAGCAATGGAGTATCCCTAAGAACTTGGACATAATACTACCCTCTGAGTTGAACTATTAAGACAACCCATGATTGGTTTGAGCAGAGAGACTCAACGTTGCTGTGAAGAGAGTGGATTCTAGCAGGAAAGGCTGAATCTTAACCAGGCTGAAGGCATTAACATATCTGAGAAAGATTGTCATGGCACACAGCAGTGGTTGCTGGGAAGTGGCAAGTCTAAGAGGCCTCAAGCATGACAGTTCACCCACAATTATCCTGGGGAGGGCATTCTGCCAGTTACCAGGGTGTGCAGCCCCTTAACGGGTAGAGCTTCATTCAGCTTACTTGTTCATTCAATAGACATTTAATACTGAACCCCTACTCTGCGTCAGGCTTGTGCTAGGTGCTCAAGATGCATCGGTGAACAAAACAAAGATCCTGCCCTTCCGGAGCATGCATTTTAGCAAGATACCAATATAAAATAATCATAAATTTGAGTTATATATGTTATCCATATCACTCTCTGAATTGGAATCTGCAGGTCTGATCAATACTGGGACATTCTGGACAGTCATGACATTACCGTGGAAATGCTCCCCAATAGTCATCCCTCAGCCTCTTCTGATGTTAGCCCAACTTCGCCACAGTCCTTTCTCATCTGAGCTACACTTCAAATATGGAGCATCAACAGGCTTTGGAATCAATATAAACTTTATGACCTGTGACTCTATTTCTGAATTCTATACCCATTAGTTAATTTTACAGGTTTGGAGTCGGAGGCTCAGAATTAAAATGACTTGCCCTATCTTGCATAGAAGCCATTAGATTGGGTAAGATAAAAAATATATGCATATATAGTACCTAGGCTTGGCAAGGTTATATGGAAACTTCAAGCCTCATATATGATTGGTGGAAATGAAATTAAAGTCCTTATGGAAACCAATTTGACAATTTATTTTAAAAGTATTAAATTTTTTATATTCTATAGCTTACTAAATGGTCTCCTATGAATTTATACCAATAAATTAATCGAATATATAACAAAAGTTCTGTATTCAGATTATTTCAGATTATTATTGTTCATGAGTAAAAAATCAAAGCAATTTAACTGTCCAGTAAATAAATTACAGAACACACATACGATGAATTAATATGCAACTATTAATACTATACACAAGACTGTATATTAGGCACAGAAAAGTAAATTGATAAAGCAACTTATAAAGTGGTAATAAATAGCAATTTCTAATTTTATAAAAATTAAATATACTTAGGCTTACATAGACCAGAGCACACAAAAAGACCAGAGCATATAGTCTAGGATGTTAATGATGGTTATATAATGGAATTACATGTCACTATTTTCTTTTTTACTTTTCTGCATTTTTCCAATTCTTTTCAAATAACAGTCATAGTAAAAACAAATAACAATGTACATTAGTGATTGTTATTATGTGACACAATAGACATTCATTGTGTCATTTAATCCTCAAAATTCTATGAGTTAGGCACTGTAATTATTCCTTTTTACAAATGAGAAAATTAGGACTCAGAGAGGTTAGGTAACTTGCCTAAGGTCACAGAAGTTAGCCTGTGACAGCTGGATTTCAACCCAGGCAGTTGGATGCCAAAGCCTACATACTTAACCACCAACTCTATAAAGCTTTTGAATTGCTTTGAAATTAGGAGAAACGTGCATGGACACACACACACAACTATTCATACAGTTTGTTTTTTAAAAAAAGAAAGAAAATGACTTATTTATTCCAAATCAACTCCTGGACATAAAATAACTATAATTCCAATACCTTCCTTGAGATAATACCAAAAAAAGAAAAACAAAAGGCCCAGTTCAGTATAAGCTCAATATGGTCATTGTTATTATACCTAATAACGATGGTAATTATCACTGGTAATTATAATAAGTCAATAATTAGTGTCATCTACTACATGCCAGGCACTCTTTTATAAGTGGTAGCTATTGTCATTGTTGTTACATTATTATTAATAAAAACTAATTAGTTATAACTATATTAACTGGGAGACTAAAAAAATGAACCCATTAGCAACCACCGTATTCTCACAGAGCTGTGTATT